ACTTGTCATTTGCATCCACTCTCTTATAATCCTGACTCTTTCTCGTTCAGTATCACCCAGCCACTCGGGTCTACGGTTATCGTCTCTCTGCCTAACATTAGATGAATGATCATTACCCCTACTATCCATCCATCCACGGGCAATATGCCTCACCCTCTCCCTCTCGCCATCGCCAAGATCAGGAGACTGCTCCCTACTGGAAGTATTATTATTATCCCCATGCCCATTCCGATCATGTGACCAAGACCCGTAATCATTCTCACTCTCACTCGAGTCTCTCAGACTACCATTGTTTTCACTCACCTGACTCTCCGAAGCAATAGAGCTAGACAAATTAGTATTAGACTCAGCACTCCTTTGCTGCCTCAATCTTTCCCTCACCCTTTCACGTGCCCTGTTAAGCACATGCTCATCTTCCAATTCCCTCCACATCTGCAAAATCCCAGATGCCTGAGTGTTAGGCCTTTCACTAGCAGCACCCTGACGCCTTGAAGATGGAGACTGAGACTCCCTAAGGAAAGAAGAATCGAGCATGGAGACCGTTTGCAAACCAGCCAACGCAATCAACTCAGACTCGCGGTTCCTCCTCTCAATCGTAGTAATCATCTCCTGAGCCTGCCTAGCAGCCCACCGGCTCAAAATTTGAGATTGACGCCTTCTTGCAGCAGATGATTCAGCCAAATTATCCCCTTCAAGTTCAGACCTTCGTCTCCTTCTCACAAGCTGATCACCTTCCTCATCCTCATCCTCTGGGTTGTGAACAGAACTACAAGACCCAAATGAGATACACTCGTCCAAGTGCCCACGCATGAATTCCTCCAAACCTCGCTCAAACTCAGTACGAACATCATCTCTAGACTCCGATTTTTGTTGCAAAGGCTGAATACTAGTCATCCTCCTCACGCTTCAATCGAAACCCCAAATACCTAAAATTCCCTTTTTTAATGTCAATTCCGATTATCAAAACAACATAGTAACTCCATCAATCATTCTCAAAACTTAAAACCACGCATCAAATCTTCCCCCGAATTTCTGAGAAGATCCCAGAAAACACAAAATCCCAACATCCAAACAATTCAAAATTTCACACCCAAATGTCCTCCAATTCTTCTCTCACCTGATATCAGCCAAATTGAACAATCAAAACCCAAAATTTCACTTCCAATTATATAAAAAAATCGAACCCAATTAACAAAGTTACGTAATTCAGATTAGCGAGACGTACCTCTTCGTGTTCTTCGTCAATGGCGAAACAGAATTAAGAGAAAAAAGGGAAAATATGAACCAAAAAGCTCCTATAAGACGAAATTGCGCAATCAAATTGAATGAAGGATCGAAGAAGAAGAAGAAGAAGAGAAAACAAAATAATCGGTGATTTATTATTGAAACTACAAAAAAAAGATTGGATTTTTTTCTAAGAGAGAAGGTACAATGGCCATTAGACAGAGAGAGATAAAACAATTAATTAGTCACTCTTTAATTGTCTTTTTCTCGTAATTAATTAATTTTATTTAGTTTTCTTCTATTTTTAATTTAATTTTGTCTACTTTTTCGCTTTTGCTAAAATTAAAAATAAGCAAGGAAAGGCGAGTCTCAAGGAAGCGAGGAGTTGGTCTACGATTCTAACACGTGGCATGATTATCTCATCCCACGTCATGTTTTTTAATCTCTAAATTGTCACTGTAATGATAAATTAATGAATTATGCATAAGACCATATCCAAATCTATATTTGAGCAAGGCATAGTAGGAATTCTTTAATGATTAATTTAAACGATGATCCCAAAAATAAAAAAGTTGGATTTTATCACCAAAAAAAAAAGGTTGGTTTTTTTCTTCTTCTTAAGTTTGCAATATAGTTAAGAAAATAAAGATAACTCATAAATGGTTAAGTGAAATTAACTTGAAATATATGATTACAAATTTTGATGCAAGAAACACTCATACCGTATGTAATAAAATCAAAGCACCTCTTCTTGTTTGGGTTTTAAAGTTCAAATTTATTATGCAAAAACAAATAAAATACCTGAAAATGCAACAAAGGAAAGAAATCAAGAAAAGAAAAAGGAAATGAAGATCTAATTAATTAACTCTTATTTGTACCAATTTGTAAATGAGGAATCAAAACAAAGGAACGCACAGAGAAGAAGATTGTGAAAAATGGAGGTATAAACATTGGCCTACCTGAGAAAGGTGTGGTGGTTTTTTTTTTTTTGGGTTTTAGGAATGTGTTAAGGTTTGGATCCTGAAATTTAAAATGAAGAAAGATGAGATGACAACATCTTTGACCTTTCAAGGTTTTTAAAGGGAAGGAAAGCTCAAACTTCACACCATATTATATATATATAAAATTTTTTTTTTGTATATTTATATACCTTAAGATTATTTTGGATTAATATTTTCATAGACTCCAGCAAACAATTACATCTTGGTGCTTTATCACAAACCAAAAAAAAAAAAACAATTGTATCTTGGTAATTGCCTAATTGGTATCATAAATGGGCAAATTTAACAACCTTCATGGCCATATCTTTTCAAAATTAAGATAACCTATCCAGAGCCGTGACAACCCATTGGCAAAAAGGGCAAATGCCCAAAGCCACACAAAAAAAAATTATAGTATAGGCCACATTTTTGTAACAAAGTAGTATATCTATGTAGTTAGTTTGATAAAAAATATCTGTTTAATAAAATTCTTTTAATAGAAATTATATTTTTAACTATGCCTTTACTTATTTAGAAGAGATTTTCTTATCGAAAACACAATTTTTAGTAATATATAATAATAAATAAAAATATATATTAAAAACAAACAATATTATTAGAAAAACAAAGAATATTTTTAGAAAAAACATGAAAACTAAGAAAATAACTTATTTTGATTTTCTTTTACCTTATCAGTTTTTGTTACTAATACTTTGTTTCGATTCAATATTATGATTTTTTTAAAAAAATATTACCATAGACCTTTTTAAAAAAAACTTGTCCTAGGCCACAAAACGTCTAAGCACGGCACTGAACCTATCATACATAGGGAGCAAAAGTGGAGTCCGAGTGCATAATACAATGAGATTTTGTATAATAATGCTCAGTTTCATAGTGGCAAATAAAGAGTTTACGGTAATTATGTTTATATAATATAAAAAAAATTCCCCAATTTGGATCGATCTTTGTGAGGGTTTCGTACCAACCAATTATTCTCACATGGAGTAATCAAGTAAGAATAAATAAATTATATCACATGACTGCATAGTTGATTGTTTTTTTTCATTCTCTCGTATTATTTGATACTTTAAACAATATAATCAAATAAGAAAATGTCTATGAGAAAGCTTACAAATGCATTGGGACGAAAGACAAGGTTGCATGGATTTTGGGTGTATGTTAGGTCTCATCAGTCACATACATCTTTCACTGATTAATATACAACGTACGTTTTCTTTTTCTAACACCCACTCATCTTCTTCTTTTTATATATGTTTATCATAATGTATACATTATCATTGTGTTTAGGAAAACAAAATCTAGGCTGTGATTAGTAATAACTTCAAAGAAAATTACTGTGTTTTAGATATTTGCAGCAAAATCATTTCTTAGGGTTTTAGCAAATCTCTAAAAACTAGAAACGTTGTAGTATGTATATGATTCAATCCAACCTATCTTCTTCACTATTTTTGTCTTTTACTGAAAAAATATGTTTCTCGAAGTCCCAAACTTTCATTCGAGAGGGAACAAACGCACGTTTTGGTTTTAACATTTTACGACATCCATATACAATCATGCATCTTTAACTTAGACACAGTAAGTTTTAATATTTGTATATCTCGCTAGTCGACATATGCATATATACAGTGCCGTGCTTATGACTTAAGAGGCCTATGGCTAAATTAAAATTGTGGCCTTTTTAATTATTAAAAAAAACTCAATTAATAAAATATCATCAAAAACTTTGGTAAGAAATAACTTCAATAGAGTAAGAAAATATGTAAGATAAATTATAAAATAATAAAAGATGAAAATTAAAAGATAAATGACTGTGACGATAAAAATCCAATAGGAAAAATAAACTAAACATAAAAATTAAACAAGTAAGCTAAACACATAAATTTATTAATGTGGCCTAAAATTTGAATATAGTATTGTGGCCTAGGGCTGTTGCCCCATTTTTAACTGAATAGGCACGGCACTGCATATATAGATCTTTTGTCTATATCCTTTTGTTTTGGAAATTTCACGCAATGTAAATCGGATATATTCACTTAAACTACTTTTACTTTGGCTATGCATGGCTTGACAATATTTTCCAATTAACCCAAAATAAAGGAAAACATATCAAACACAATCTTTATTGTTTCACAGTTATGTGAATGTCTTCTTTTGTCTTGTAACTGTGAAGTTAGCATTATATGCTTGATTTTGTCTTTCAAAGAGAGAAGAGACTTTTGCTTTGAGATACGCACAAATGATATATGGCTGTCGTTTGTAGGAGGACCGCTAAGATAAATTATTTCTCAATTGCTTACAACATTTGCTTCTTTTCTACTCATGCTTAATTCTATAATATATTGCATAAGAGAAATTTAGATGGTTCTCTTTTATGTTTACGTTTGATTTGTATAATGAGTATTTGTAAATCGTAAAAATAAGTTAACACGAATCACAAACAAAAGTCCTCACTCGATTAACATTTCGTGTTTGTGTCTACAAGTTGCAAATGACTTTTGATTTAAAACATTATAATTGTTTTGGCTTCATTTTGAAAGTAACACGTTATCTTGACTTATAAACATAACTAGATATTACACATTGACAAAAGACATGAAGTGAGAAAGAAAAAGTATTTAATCGAACAAACTGTCAGCTTAGAGTCTGAACCGGCTCATCCATTTACCGGTTCAATTTTTAGTTCTGTCAGAAACATAATTTTGGTACAAAGGTGGAGCCGTTGAGGGAACTTCCGGTTGGATTACCATGACACACCGTGAGATTACAGTGAAACAAACAAACAAACGTATTCTATTGAAAATGGTTGAAATTCCAGAGACTACAGATTCATTTGTGATCATTTTACCCGAATAACACATTAAAAAAGATCGAGAATTAGCTAACATCCCCGATTTGAACTTGAGGAGGCACATGATCGTTGAACCAGGTACAGTAGCTTTTGCTTTACTGTCAGATCTCGCCAGTCCCAAGAGGTTGCCTTGAAGTGTCTCCAGAAGCCCATGCTTGATAATCTTTCGAGAGCTACAAAACGAGTAAAAGAGCATGATAAGATTAATGTTGGGATGATTTTGCAGGAAATTAAATGAAGAAGGAACACATAAATATAACGAATCAACAAGCCAGTTCTACAGTATAAACCATAGAAGCCGAGGCTAATCTGAAACCTGAGTCCTGCTTCAACATGTGCATTATCGACATAAATAAAGCCTAAATACAAGTTATATTGCCACAGCAAGCAGCTCAAATATGAAAGATCTTCTCAACAGGAAACCTCAGATGTCAAACAAATACTATCAAGCAGGATGATCATGCAATTGAAAAACATATTGCCATAGAGGAATAAATGATAGCTTAAAGGACCTCGTTGATGCAGAATAAGTGATTAAAAGGTAATAATACAAATGTTGTTTTCCTGCATACCTGTGACAAAAATCGCGGTAGCATGAGTTTAAGAATTTGATCAAGAACTTGTGTCCCCGTAGCCTCTATTGCTCCCACTGGGAAGACTCTAAATGCAAAAGGAATCTCGATATTGACCTAGAATTGCCAAATACGTCAGAAATACCACAACAATGCATTGATTAACTAAGCAAAAAAAAAAAAAAAGAATGAAGAACTTAGCTACCTCAATGACTGCATCAGAACTAATTTGTTGCTCTGATGTACCTTCCTGAGTGCTATCACATGATACCCGGTTCACCATAGAAGCTGCATGACTAGAAAGTACCAAATGTTAAGCCCATACAACGATCACCATATCTAATTTCAGTAAACAAAAAGTTCACCAAGAAAAGTTTGATAACTTTGGGCATACTTTCGAAACGGGTAAACAAATAGAATCATATACAGGGATATGCTTACCATCAAATTTGTCATTTTGAGCAACCACAACAGGGGATCCCTCAAGCTATAGACAATGAAACATCATTATCTTAACAAAACATAACTCAATTTATGTCTAAAAAGCCACAAGTTGTTCTCTTTATTTGCAAATTCTATCATTAAGAATAAGAAGATTTTACCTTGCAGGACAAGAGCTTGATGCAGCAGCCATTAGGCTGTTCTTCAACCCTGACAAGCAAAACAGGGCAGACTTCAAAGTTGAAGAATTTAAACGTATAAACATAACATCTGAACGTGTTATCATCAACTCTCTCAATCCTCTCCGCATCAAGCACCGAGTACTGACTTGCTGGTAAGCTCATATACTCAACTGCAACCATAAACAACAAAAAACCAAATCCGATCCAGATTTAACCAATCCACAAGAACACACAAATTTAGATCAAGTATGGTTGAAGTTACTTAGAGGTCGCTGGAGCTGACGAACGGAGATGGATTGTTTCTGACGAGCGATGAATCGAGCTTTGGGGGTGGAGCTCGATGAGACGCGAATAGGTGGCGTAGAAGAGGCAAGAGAAGGTTTAGGTGGTTCGTCAAAAGACGATGAGCTAGTGATGGTGAAGGAGAGAGATGGATTTCTAGGGTTTCGATTCGTCTTCTTCGCTGAGAACGATAAAGAGGTAAGTCTAAGAGTAGCTGAGCTCAACGCCATAGCTAAAACGACGGCGTTTTAGGATATGAGATGTTTAACAACTAACGGCTCAGCTTAAACACAGAAACGAAGGAGAGAGAGTGAGAGAAAGGTGATAAGATTCTGGGCCGACGGAGATTTGGGAGGTGGCACCACCATCACCACCTGCTTCGACTGCGCATGTTAGCCTGCTTACGTTGTTTCGCTACTGTTAAAATACGCTTAATATTGAAAGCAAGCCCAATAAGAGCCCGTAAACAATATCTTGGGCCAACGAGAAATTGTAAACGAATAACCTTGGCAATTTGAGTAAAATATAAAAATGTGATGTAACCCAGACTCGGTTGGATCCAAACACTTGTTAGCTTTTTTAACTTTTTTGAATAAAATTATTAGATTTACTCTAATTTAGAGTACAAAACAAAACTTTAAGAAAATGTTAAAAAATAGTCATCTATAATTATTGAAGAATAATAATGTAACTAATTTTAAGTTAGTTTATGATGCCACAAAATACTATAGTATGATTATTTTTTGAAGGTTTTAAGTTTTAACCAATGAATCTGATGTGTAGTCGTGAGGAAAACACAAGTTGCCACTTCCCATTATTGTCGGCCTAAAAAACCAAAAATCACCTTATAATATAATAGTGAACTTCATTAATTAATCGACCGATCCAAATCATAAACATGCATTACCATTAATCGTATCTATTGTCTTCGTCAACTCTATCGTACAATTTGACAAACATATATTTTACTACAATTCAAGATCTAACAAACTATGAAAATAAATCAAACTGATGCAAAAAAATCAGTTTCTAAAATGAGAAAATAGAGAAAGAAAAAAACACAGATTGCTATTTTTATTATCATCATGTTTCACTCTATTGCAATTTTAAAATTACAAAAATAATAATTTTGGTGTTTTTCTAATTATCTTTGATTTCATAGCTAGATGTTTTAATTAAAACAAATTGTTAAAAGATTTTGCAATTAGTTGAGCTGATTTGATATTTTAACAAATAAAAGTGAGATGATGTGAAAGGAAAAAAATAAAATAAATAAAAAAGAGATGGAGAGGCGGTCAATAAAATTAAATTACGAAAAATGAAAAATAATAGAATAAGGGAGCCTAGTGGATAGATAGACGAAGGACACCAGAGCCACCTTCATTCACTTCACAAACCGCTCGGCGACAAAGACGAAGAAGCCGAGGAAGTAACGAGCGACGAGAGAGCCTTACATCGATAGACTTAGTTTTGCTCAGATTCATATCCACCGGCGCCAATTGACGGCGACGACGACGACGGAAGGAGCAGATTCGAATTGTGCGAAGACAGGTAACTTTGGAATTTTTCTTCTCAATCTCAGATTTCGATGAACGAGTCTTATCTCTTCTTCTCTCTCTGATTTCGTTCTTATTTTTTCTTCATTGTATTGATAATGTCGATTGGTTGATTCAATTCTTCTCTGTGTTTTTTCCTTTTATCTTCTGATAGCAGCAATGGAGTCTACTGAGTCATATGCGGCAGGTTCACCGGAAGAGCTGGCGAAGAGATCCCCAGAACCGCATGATTCTTCGGAAGCTGGTATTTCCGATCCGATCTGGTCTTTTGTTTTTTTTTCCGTCGTTGCATTTTCCTTTGACTCTGACTCAAATGTTTCGGTATTTCGTCACATTCGTGAATTGGATCTCGTTTAAGTACTTTGTGATATGACAACGTAGATGTGTGATTAATTCCTTGTCGCTGGTGAAAACTTGGGAGAAGATTTCCTTTGCGATAGATTCATTTTTCGAAGATGGTTAAATTACGCTACTTCCTTGTGTTTCAGTTCGATGAAATAATACTTCAGTCATTGGAGAAAATCTTGTGAATTGTTCAGAGTGTAATGAATTATATAAAGGAACAATCTTGTGAGTGAGTTAGATCAGAATCATTTTCATGTTGTGTTTTTGTAAGATATGTGGTATAATCGAGGTTGACAAGGTTTTATTTTTTGGCTGTTTCAATTCAACAATTAGTTAGCTCAATACTGATGCGGTTTAGTGAACCATGCTGTCTATTTGACTATCTAATGTGTTTTGCTCTTTTCAGATTCTGCTGAGAAGCCAACACACATTCGGTTTCTTGTATCCAATGCGGCAGCTGGTTCCGTCATTGGGAAAGGTGGCTCGACCATCACTGAATTTCAGGCAAAGTCCGGGGCAAGGATTCAGCTTTCACGTAATCAAGAGTTTTTCCCGGGGACGACCGATAGAATTATTATGATATCGGGCTCAATCAAAGAAGTTGTCAATGGACTGGAACTTATCCTTGATAAATTGCACAGTGAGGTAATCTTTTTTCGATCTGTGTTTGACAAGTTTGTATTTCATGTCACAATTGCCTTCATTTAATTCATATAGTATGCCACTATGAGATCAATTTTAACTTTTCTATTTGATTGCTAGCTTCATGCTGAAGATGGTAATGAGGTTGAGCCTAGGAGAAGAATTAGACTTGTGGTTCCTAACAGTTCTTGTGGAGGTATAATTGGAAAAGGAGGGGCCACCATCAAGTAAGTTTCCGTTCTGTATCAGTTGCAGCAGTTTCTTTGAGGTTTTCAGACCTTCCATAGCCTGTTTCCCTTAACACCATTTCCTACAGCACGCTTAACAACCAAATAACATTTGTAATGTATCTGGTCATGTTCTTGCATTGTTTCCATGTTCAAATCTTCTCTGGTTCATATCTTTAAGAGAGCAATTATTTCCTCTGAATGCATGCATAAACAAGTCAAGACCCTATGTAGAACAGGTGAACAAAGTTTCTGAGTATTAGAGGTGACTCAGTTTGAAGTAGTGTTAGTATGGAATATCTAGTTTCTTTTAAGTTCTAGAATATGGCATTGCATTTTTGATTTTTTCAAGGAATATTGACTTCAGTTGTACTGCTGTCACTAACCCTCAAGACATTTCTTTCTTTGCAAAAAGGTCATTCATTGAGGAATCTAAAGCTGGTATTAAGATATCCCCTCTGGATAATACCTTCTACGGGTTGAGCGATAGGTTAGTGACATTATCTGGGACCTTCGAGGAGCAGATGCGGGCAATCGATTTGATTTTGGCTAAGCTTACTGAGGACGATCATTACTCCCAGAATGTGCATTCCCCATATTCATATGCAGGTATATCAACTTAGTACTAGCTTAGTTAGGTTTGTTTTCCTCCTTGAAGCTTCTTTTGTTATCGTGTTCTGTATGTCTTTGATTGCATTTATTCATGTTGGAAAGCAATAGAGTAAATGGTTTGATCATCTCCGGACTATCCTTTGACAATTGAATTGACACTATGGAAATTACTTGTTGTAAGATTGTTTAGTCACTACACATGGACAGACGTAGATAGGCAGAAATCACAGTACACGATTTTTGATTTCCTGTTTTAAGGTCATGTGAACAATCTAAGTGTCAAGTGTAGATGCTGGATCATATCCCTTGATAAAGATGTAAGATTAGAGTAGGATTTTCTACTGAGTTTAAGATTGTCAGATGTCACTAAGGTAGTAATGGTGTTTAGTATCCTTCATCTCACATGGATGTTCTTTCCATTTTGAGGATTGTGTATGATGGTCGTCTGTTGTAGCTTAATTCTCTTGTAAGTTCCTTTAAACTCGGCATTTTAGGTCTTTTCTACTCTGGTTTTCATGGTCCTCCATATGCGTATGCGCTTCCTTCTGTTGCAACAGCGGGATACAATTCGGTTAACTACGCACCCAACGGTTCTGGAGGCAAGTATCAAAACCACAAGGTTAGCCTCTTCTCATTATCTTCCACCCTATTAGTATTTATGCGTTTATATGAATCAATCTCTATCTGTGTTACTGCTATTCATATATATATATATATATATATGAATCAATCTCTCTTTGTGTTACTGCTATGGATTGTATGGATCAATTCACATCTAGAAACTTTAGGAGATACCAATGTGAAATCTACATCTGATATTTTTGTTAGGAATTAGGCTTATCAAAAAGATTGGTGATGTGTTTAATAAACCAACTACTAAAATAAATTTGATCGGAGATGCAATTTCTGTCATGTCTTACTGTCCATATAAAGATATTTGTTGCTATTCATTCGAACACACTGCTTAATCTCCAGTAGAAATAAAATCAAGCTATACTAGCTTATCAATCTGAGAATACAACACATTGCTGTAGCATATAAGATAATAAGATGGCCATTTGGTATTAAAACAGCTAAAAATTCTTCTTTTTCTTTCCCATTACTTACTGTGTTTTGATATATATTCCAGGAAGAAGCTAGTACCACGGTGACAATTGGTGTTGCGGATGAGCATATAGGATTGGTCCTTGGACGTGGAGGAAGAAACATCATGGAAATAACTCAGGTATTTGGTAACCCTTAGTTAAAACTCTTTCGGTCCACAGAAACTTAAAGCCCAATTTTCTTCCCGCAGATGACTGGTGCCCGAATAAAAATATCAGACCGAGGTGATTTTATGTCTGGAACCACTGATAGGTAAGTTAAGATTATTGGAGACTTGCAACCGAAAAATGTGTTTGATACTTGTCATGTCTAAACTTGAAAAATGGCAAATATTGACAGGAAAGTGAGTATCACAGGGCCACAGAGAGCAATCCAACAAGCAGAGACGATGATAAAACAGAAAGTTGATTCAGCCACAGAGAGAGCCACCGATTAAAACCGTTAAAAGAGAATCCATCTCAGTTCCTATCTTTGGTCTGTTTACTTCATTTGTTGAGGGTTAAGCTTTCGGATGGGGATCATTAATCATCTTTGGGTGAGGCAGAGATTTCTCTCTAGGAGCTCTCGTTCGTTTTATTTATATGTCGACATTATATAATGTGTTTTTCTCTGGGAGAGAAGCAGATTTGGAGTTAGAAAAGTACTATTTTCATTTGTTTTTTAATAACTTTGTTGCAATTTGTTGGAAGTTTTGTTTCCCTTTTGAGTTCTTTCTGTTGTAACAATTTACAATAACCAGCCTTTACATTGCATTTTGCTTCCTTCTTTTATCAACTATTTACAGTTTTTAACCCCACCAGTTCTTTTTTTTTTTTTTTTTTGCTGTAACGATTAAATGAGAAATTACAAAAAGTGTTGAATTGGTTTAGGACTTAGGAGTGCGAGTAGTAGTCTAGTTTGAATTGCTGTCGTATGTGTGTCTAACATAGTCATAATGAAGTCAAACAAACCCTTTACACAGATAAGAAAAGTCCAAATATTTAGAGGATCCTGTTATGTCACTATGGAGCATGATCATCAATATTTCACTCACATGCCCTTCAAAATGCTTTTCTCAATGTTCATTACGTTACCGAACAAGAAACAAATACACCACATTAACTTGATAATTAACGAGAAATCGAAAACACATCTCATCTTTTAAATAATATGTTTGGAGACAAATCTAAGTTTCAAACAAGTCAACAAAATCTTACCTATCTTAAAGGATTGAGTACCCACATCATTAACGCTCTATCAACGTTAAGGCTATAATTAGCCAGATTTTCGTCAACATGTCCATGGTAAAGAATAGCCTGAATGTGTCTAAGAGATCTTAATTTAGAAATGAAAATATGAGCTGATATAGCTAATTCAGCTCTCGCATCTGCTACTTCCAATACTGGTTCCTCACCAGCCGCAAGAGCAGCCATAAAAACTGTAAATTGGTTGAGCAAACCATCGTATGCATTAGTCAACCTCGTGAAATGATTGATGACTTGTGCTTGCATATTCTGGTTGTAGCGAAAAGCCACACAAGCCCATGTGCATATGCGGAACAAAGACATTGCAAACATTACAATTAAAATTCAAAAACACACGAGTCTCAGTTTCAGAGAAACAAACAAAATGGTAATTAAAAATAAAACTAACCTCTTCTACGGTAAATCGCATGTGTGGATGATTGTCAAAACATTGTGACCAATGACATCTCTCCAGCCAGGCATCCCGGCCTTTGCAAGGTTATAATCTCTCATATGGTTGTAGATCTCGGTAAATTGTGCATCACGTTGCATAAAGTGGTTTTGCCATTGACTCCTCTCATGGCAAGTAAATTTAAAACTTAGACTAATTTTTATGGTTTTTCGCAAATATTTTTATTATGTAAACTAATTTTTTGAAAATACAAAATATTTTTGTTTTTTAAAAAACTAAGTGTTAAATTTCAATGCAATTGAAAACTAATCGGGCTAAGCATTCCGTCCCATCCGACGGATCCGTAAAAGGTGTTATTAGTCCAACCGCTTTTCACGCAAGTAAATTTAACACTTAGACTAATTTTTATGGTTTTTTACAAAATTTTTTATTATGTAACCTAATTTTTTAAAACTAAGTTTTTAACTATACAAAATAGTTTCATTTCATTAGTTTTTTTTGGGTAGGAATTTCCTTAGTTTTTTTTAAAGTTAGAAAAATGTTTTTGTTTTTGTTTTAAAAAACTAAGTGTTAAATTTCAATGCAATTGAAAAATAAACCCGACTAAGCATCCCGTCCCATCCGACGGGTCCGTAAAAGGTGTTATTAGTCCAACCGCACTCAAGTAAATTTAACATTTAGACTAATTTTTACTATGTAAACTGTTTTGTTTTTTACTATAAAATAGTTTTCATTTCATTAATTTATTTTTTAAGTTAGAAAGTTTTGGTGAATCATAGAGGATAGAACATCGAAATCATGCCTTTTTTCAATCGACGCACTTCTTTCCGAAATCTCCATCGCGTGATTTTTTATGTTTTTTATGTTTTCTTCTCAAAACCAATATAAACCGAACCGAAAATCAATTGTAATTTCAAATCCATGTAAACCGAACCGAAATCAATTGAAATTTCAAACCATGTAAACCGAACCGAAATTGTTTGCATCTTCTCGCCGGTTGGTAACAGAATCATGTTCAAGAAACTGTGAGCAAGAACTATTTCTGGTAGAAGAGGACGAATCAGGTTCAATCCATCCCAGTATTATAATTTCAAACCATGATTTGTCTTCCAAAATCTCCAACAGATTCTTGTAGAAATTCACTACATTTTACTAGTCAAATTCATAGAGATAGTCGAGAAAGATTGATTTTGATTTGATTGTAATTGTAATTCCCAAAAGTCTTGGCAAGTGTTAGAATCTCTCTGGTAAAGTACTTGATTTAAAACAGAGTCTTAAGAAAAAGAAAAAACGACTTTTGCTTATTAGTTTTCTCTCTTACGATATCTGAATCTTGGACTAGGTACTGACTCTGCTGGAATGTACAAATCGCTAAGTTCATGTTTGGAGAAAAAAGAAGATGAAGCAGAACCGGAGAAGGTAGTAGTAACTTTGAAAGCAATCGTTAGGAAGCAAGACATAAATATTTTATTCGTTGAATGCGGAGAGGAATTTGTTGAGCTTCTTTTATCTTTTCTTGCTGTCCCGCTTGAATCTGTATGGGAAATCTCTGGCAGCGGTATCTCTTTAGGTTGCATTGGAAACTTGTGTAGAAGCTTCAGTGACTTAAACGCTAATAAGGGGACTGAACTGTCAACTTCAACATGCGCATTACCGTCTTTTTATAGATTCCAGATGCAGGTGCCCCGTATCATCACTCAACAACCTCCAGTATACTACCGCTACACCGATTGCAGGCAAGTGAGCTATGGATGGTTTGACTACAAACGGTAATCGAACTCCTTGTTACCGCAAGGACAGAATCGTTCGGGTGTATTTGATGGATCCCAAATCCCGTGGCAGTGATAAGTCTACTCATGGGTTCTTGAAGAAAGAGACAAAGTTTACTGTGTTAGATGATCTGAACATTACATCTATGAACTCCTGCTCCTCAGTTTGCTTACTAAAGAAGTTACAGAGTCACGCAGACGATCTAGAGGTGCAAGTAGTTAGCATTAGCAATGCAGAGGTATGCTTCTACATACCCTTTTTGATCCTCTTTAATTGATAGGAACTTGACTGAAACTGTCTTTGAATTTGTTGAGAGCTTCCTCTGCTTTGAGCACGGCATTATGGAATTTGATTGCTGATAAACAACTGAAAGAGGAGACTGATTTATGGAATCCGGTTTCAAAGAAGGTGAAGGAAGAGACTTGAAGAAAAATACAGAGCTAGTGAGAATGACCTCTTAAGCTGCTACTAATCAATTGTTGATTATGTTTTTAGAATTCTGCAAGATCTACATTATATTCCTCATGTGTTCTTATTAGTGGATTTCCAAGCTTTTTCTTTCTTTGTATGACTAATCAAATTATTGAGTTTTATTTGAATAGATTGTTCAAAGCTATGAGCCTAAATGCAGGCAAAAACTTGCACATATTTTTGAGTTTTTCTTATTATTAAGCAACTACAACGTTCAATAGAAACATTACCAAGCTATCAACACAAATGCATTCATATACAAAAGTTTATAATAAGATCCAGTTGGTATATAATTTGGAATGTTGAAGAATGAAGACTTTGAAGCGTTGAACAAAAAAAGAAGACTTGAAGTTAATGGTCTGCTTCCTGAAACCCTCTTCCTCAACCAGAAGGTTTTCTCTATTTTTATTTTTCTATACTGAATAATTTTTATTTAAATAAAATAGAAATTAATCAGAGTGTGTGTGAGTTAAAAAATAATAATAATCAGAGTGTGTGGCCCTGTTCGTTTTGGAGTCGCTCAATGAGCGATCGCGACAAGAAAATAGACACCGAGGGAGTCGTAACTGTACAAAAGAGTCGCTGCCACTGTTAAAAAGAGTCGCCGTTAGTGTTGAATGAGTTGCCGCACCTGTCGCTTGAAATTTCAGCGACTACTTTGTCTCTCTGCGACACATTTTTCTCTCCCCAGCGACACCTCCGCAGTGCCGGCTCAATACTTTGACGGGCCCTAGGGCAAAAAAAATTTTGGACCCTTAAATTTTTTTTTTTTTGTGTTTTTGTGTTATAAAAATTTTTTGTATGATATTTTTAATAAAAATTTAATTACTAAAACTAAAAACAGTAAATAAAAAAATTTATGGGCCCTTATAAATTTTATTTTTATGTTGTAATTTAATTTTTTAATACTTTTATAAAAATATTTTTAAAAATGAGCCCCTTAATTATTAGAACACGGGATTGGGCCCCTGGCCGTCGCACCGCCCGCCCCTATATCTGAGCCGGCACTGCACCTCCGTCATCAACCTTTTGCCGCACCTGTCGTCGTTTTGCTTTATTGATGGCCGCCGCCACCGTCGTTTTGATCTGTCGCTGAGATGGTCGCTGGCGACTCTCATCCGAACACGGCCTGTATCGTCTCCGTTGCCCAAAAAAAAAAATTTGCTTCGCCGTATTCGGCTCCGGTGTGATTCTTGAGAAGAACTGAAGTAGAGAGATCTGAAACATCAATCTCCGATTTAACTTGGTAAGTAGAGCATTTTTTTTATTCCTCATCTTTCTTTTGATTCGTATTTTTACGGTTCCGTTCATGTAATTTTGTTTTTTGTTCTGTGGACTTGCAGCGACAATGCTTCAAATTCGGCTTCGGAGAGATTCTCCGGCGGAGACTGGAAATGGAGCGAGGCCTTCTCCGACGGAGACAGTTACTGTAGCCTGTCCTGACCATCTCGTCCTCGCTGATCTTCCTGTTGCGAAAGGAATCGGTTCCGTGACTCCAACCACCGTAATCAAGCCCGTTGGTCGTCGTTCTCGCCGTCAGCTAGGCGAGAGAGTTCATTTCTGCGTCCGTTGCGATTTTCCGATTGCAATCTATGGTCGTCTGGTATAGTTTCACAATCTAGGGTTTTTTTGGGGGTTCTTCTATGTGATTGAAACTTTTGAGTTGTTTGGTTTTGCAGATACCTTGTGATCATGCCTTTTGTCTTTGAATGTGCTCCTAGTGATTCCATCTGCTATCTGTAAGCATCTGCTTCGAATTCTGGTTACTTGTCTCTTTTTCACAATGCAGTTTAGATCCTATGAACCAAATTTTCTCAAGTTGCTTGATCATATGAATGTCTGAACATACTAATAGTAGTGTAGAATCTGTGCTTTAATCAACAAATCTTGGAAGAGCCATAGTTGTGTTCTCGAATTGGCAAGTTTAGAGACAGGGAAAGCATTTCATTTGAAGCTTTGGTAGAGATACTTTAGAGTGTTTGGTAATCTACAGAGACTTTTTAGAGATTTAGTAGGCGAAGCGATTATAGCGGGATTATATAACTGAATCTTATGATCTCTTGTGTGTGTGTGTATGTTATTGGACAGATGTGATGAACGGATTCAGAAAATTCAGACAATCAAGATGATGGAAGGAATCTTCATCTGTGCAGCTCCTCATTGTCTTAGGTCATTCCTGAAGAAACTTGACTTTGAAGCCCATGTCCATGAGCTCCACGGAAGCCTATTACAAGCCGATGCAGAGAAAGAAGATGGTAACCAGTCAGATGTTCAGAGCACAATGCAGCCATCTTCAGCTTCAGAATCCACGTTGCGAGGTCCTTTAAGATCCCAGCAGCTACAATCCCGTGAACAACCATAACTAAACAGGTCGGCGTCATTTGCAAAATCACAATCTGCATTTGGTCAAGTCCAGAATTACCCTCCGTTCCAATGGGGTTACCACAGGCCACAGCAGTTTGGTTTTCCTTCGTGTCCAACAACATATGGTTGAAAAATCTCAACAATTCTTTAACGGTGCTCAGTACGAGATGACAAGAACAGAGAGTGGCGGATCACAACAAGGTTCATTGCTCGGGTACCAATGATGAATCTGAGTTTCCAAGGATCGTATCCTCCTCCGTCATGGAATCCTGGAATGGCACTGCCTGAAACGACCCAGCAGGTTAACCGGGGTAGAGGGTGGCAACAAGAGAACCGTGATGGCTTTGGGCAGGGCTCTTCAAAAATCAACTTTTGTCTCTGCCTTAGACAAAATGTATTTGGTACTGCATATACAATATGTTGCTATATTTAGCAGTATCTTCTGCTATTTACACACCAGACACGTACTTTTCTCTTCAATGGCAACTATTGCTTATGGGTAGGCACCTAGTACTAGTATTACAGAAGCACCAGATATTTCAAAATTTCTGAAATACCCAGACTTTTGATATATATATATATATTTTTTTTGTCTGCCAAAGTTTCATTAATTTTAAGCCCAGTAGAAGGTAATACAATGATGAAGAGAAGCCTAGATATTTATCGGAGTATCTATCCACAACTTTAGATATTTAGATATTTAGATATTTAGATATTTACACACCTGAAACTTTTATTTGACCAGAAGTGCTCGAATCTTTTACTATTTTTACACTAAGACTCGTATATTCTGCTATTTACATAGTTGACCCGAAACTATCTCTATTTGCAGGGGAAGGACCTGTAACATTTTAATACACTTGGAGATTCGATCTCACTTCTCACAATCCTTCTCCCTCTCCGACTCCGACACCGACACCTTTCACGTTCTCCGGCGGCTCTAGTCGTCGCCGTCATTTCAGTTTCTAACTTTATGTTCGTGTTTCTCATTCCCTTTATTTCTCCGTTATCACTTAATTAGCTTTCGTGAAAACAATTTTGAATTTAGTGTTCAGATCTCTTTATGATTACAATGTCCCCAACTTTGCTTTCGTGATCGTCCCCGAGAAGGACTAGGATCTCGTTGTGTTCTCCTTCTTTTTCCATATGAAAATGAAGGATCGTGATAAGCTCAATTCTGGATTTTAGAAGTCGTATCATCTACTTGATTATAGAGTTTCTTGTATCCAATTGTTAAATCATATGAGATCGAAACTCTTTTGCTCTCAAAAATGGCAGAGTGAAGCTGTGACGTAGTCTCTGGTAATGGAAGAGATCAGGAAAGAAATAGATGTTGGTGATTGGCATTCAAATCTCGCTCACGATGAATGGACACCACTCCCTGTTTCTGGCTCTCGAGCATCAGCTCGCTACAAGGTCACTGATTATATCTTTGTCTGTGCTTAAGCATTTGATTAAATTGGAGATAATTGCTCCTAAACCTTTTCGTGTGTTCTCTGGAAAATGCAGCATGCGGCAGTGGTTGTTGATGAGAAGCTCTACATTGCTGGTGGAAGCCGTAATGGCCGATATTTATCTGATGTCCAGGTAAATTGTGTGTTTTCTTCTTTGTGTCTGTATCTTCCTTTTGTTTTCATGAATCTGTGGTGATTTGAAAAACTCAACTCATCAGGTGTTTGATCTTAGAAGTTTGACTTGGTCTAGTTTGAAACTGATAACTGAATCATCAAGTGCTGAGAACATTCAAGAGGATGATGGTAGCAGCTTAAGGGAAGCTTTTCCTGCTATTTCAGACCACCGCATGGTAAGTCCTTTACATGAAAAAGAATTTTGTAATCAATACTTAAAGAATGTTAAATGTGAATCATTTTGGCAGATTAAGTGGGGAAACAAGCTTCTTTTGATCGGGGGACACTCCAAGAAGTCATCAGATAACATGTCAGGTTAGCCATATCCAGCTTTCCTTTTGATTGGATGCTCTTTTCAAATTCTTATTTGTGTGTTTAATTCTTTTCTTACAGTGCGGTTCATTGATTTGGAAACACATTTATGTGGAGTCGTTGATGTGTCTGGGAATGTTCCGGTAAGAATACTGTTATCTAAATTATTTCTCGCTCCATATGTAGCTGTTTTGGATAGTTAGCTATATACCTTCCATGTTTTCTAGGCTTCACGTGGTGGACATTCCATTACACTGGTTGGATCTCGAGTTCTTGTTTTTGGTGGGGAAGATAAGAACAGGAGACTGCTGAATGATCTGCATGTTCTTGATCTTGAGACAATGACTTGGGATGTTGTAGAGACAAAGTAAGTTTATGTAAAAGTGCAGACAGCTACATCCATGCTTCTGTTTACTGCAGTTTTGTCTACCCGGTCTTACAATCAAATGCACTGTATTGTTTTTTTTTTTTTTTTTTGATAGGCAGACACGCCCAGTTCCCAGATTTGACCACACAGCTGCCACACATTCCGATCGTTACCTCTTGATTTTTGGTGGTTGTTCTCATTCGATCTTCTACAGTGATCTTCATATCCTTGACTTGCAAACAGTAAGTAAGCACATTGTCTTGGTATTTTTTTGCCATTTTCATCATATTCTGATGAATTTATTTTTACTCATGGCAGATGGAGTGGTCACAGCCTCATGTTCAGGGAGATGTTGTAACTCCTCGGGCAGGACATGCTGGAATCACCATTGACGAAAACTGGTATATAGTTGGGGGTGGTGATAACAGTACTGGTAAATGCACTCTCTGCTTCTAGAATTACGTCTTACTCGCTCAACACGCTATTCCAGTTAATACTTTGCATTCATTTCTCCTCGGTAACTCTTTTCTTTCCTGTGCAGGTTGTTTAGAGACCCTTGTTCTAAATATGTCAAAGCTGGTTTGGTCCACATCAACCCATGTAGAAGCAAGACATCCACTTGCTAGTGAGGTTGATACTTCCAAAACTAGAACCCAATCTTAGATGTTTCTTTATCTTTCCTATCCGAGTTTTCTTATGTGTTGTATGGTTCAATTGCAGGGTCTCAGTGTATGTTCAGCATCAGTATTTGGAGAGAAGATCTTAGTAGCTTTTGGCGGCTATAACGGGAAGTATAACAATGATGTAAGCCCATAGCAATAGATTCTAACTTGCACAAGTCAAATCTTATTGATATGCTTATTTGGGCTGTTGTCTTCTTTTCATACAGATATTTGTCATGAGACTAAAACCAGGAGAATCCTCACATCCCAAAATCTTTAAGTCACCAGCAGCCGCTGCAGCTGCAGCCTCTGTCACTGCTGCTTATGCCATAGCCAAGTCAGATAAGTCAGATTATCCACCACCTGCAAATCCAACTCTCAATGGAATAGGAAGCAGTCTTCCTGAGAGAGATATTAGGAATAGAATCGATACCATTAAAGAAGAAAAAAGAGCATTGGAGTCATCTGTTGCGGAAACCCAAGTAGAAAATGCCAAGCTCAGGGAAAAGATAGATGAAGTCAATAGCAGCCACACTGAGCTATCTCAAGTACGTAATCTCTATCTGTGTCAGGTTATCCCTATTTGCGTTCTATGAACACGATTCACAATCTTTAAACATTATCCCAGGAACTACAATCTGTAGAAGGTCAACTTATTTCAGAACGATCAAGATGCTTTAAACTCGAGGTTTATAAGCATCCTCCTACCTTCCAATAGCCTTCTCTTATTCTAAAATCACCAACTCAAGCACGGTTTTATCTAATGGCATGTCTCAGGCACAAATAGCAGAATTGCAGAAAGCATTGGAGTCAGGGCAATCTATCGAAGCTGAAGTTGAGATGCTTAGAAGGCAGAGGTCAGTATCTGATGAAGGAGAAGACGGGACTGTGCAAAGGCAAGGCTCTGGGGGTGTGTGGGGTTTGTTTGGAAGGTAAATCCTAAACAATTTGGCTACACAAACACCTAAAGCTTTGAAGATACAAACATTGGTTTATAATTCTATTTTTGAGAATGAGAGTGTGGGAAAAGGATGTTCTTTCTTGTTTATTATGAAAGATTCAAAATCAATTTGCTTGTTATGAATGCTTTTTTCCCTCCTTATTTACTGGAGATTTTACAACGTTATATTTTTGCAGGTAAATATCATTTCACTTTACTAACATGTTTAACCAAAGTTTCAAACAATAACAATTAACGACCATGGATTAAATAACAATTGTCATAAAAAAGTTGTTATGTTCTTATTTCTAGAAGAGAATTTCAAACTACACAAAACCCTTAGAAATAAAAATTTAAATATGGAGCAGCAAAGCACTGCCAAAGTAAAGGCTATATAGTTGGAGAGGTACAAACACCAAAAAAGTCTTTTTGAGACAGATTCGACTTTTGGTCCTATTACCGAGCAGACACCATGGTTACTATTTTGAAGCTAACAGAGAGTAGGAGAACCCATAAACACATGAAGACTAACATAGCTCTTGTCGCCGTAGTTTCTGTCTTGCTTCCCGAGGCACTCAGCGCATCATCCCGTTGGACTACCCCGAATGAAAGGACTACGTTGAGGTTACCGTTCTTGTCATATGACCAGCCCATACCGCTGTCCGCTGCTAGAGTCATGTTTGATATTCTGATCATACCTGCAGTCACGTGAACTGAACCAGAAGATTGTGCTGCGTGTAGCCGCATTGCAGCGTCCTTTGTTTGGAACTGTGAAGCAAATGAAGATGGAGTAGGAATGGCTCCAAGCATGTGGCTTGTCTTCTTGAGAAAAGGGTACTTCGAAGCTACATGATTTAGTTTCAAAAGAGTCAGAATCGGTCATCAAATGACTTGTTTTAAAAGGAATCTATGAACATCTGAGTGTTACCTGAATCAAAGTCCTTGACATCTGCATCTTGTTTTGATGAAGATCCTTCACCACTTTCCTTTTCCTCCACCGCCTCTTTGCCTCCTGCGACCTCCTTCTCCAGTTCTTCAGGGGTAGGCTGTTGGTGTAAAGGTGAGTTAAAAAAAGATTTTTAACATATATAAAAACTAAGCACGTTGGAAGAACGGGTCTTACTTTCTGATCGACGCCTTCTAGGTTGGGAAGAGCATCTTCAGGTCCCATTAATTGAGAATCATCAAGAGTGAAACTCTCATCATCAAAGAAGTTGAGATAATCTTCGAAGTTAAAATCATCTTGCTGAGCACAGCTGAGATCATTCGTTTCCAGGTACAGACCATCGTTGAGTGGAAGATTGTTGTTAGGATCCATGAATGGCTCATCGGGTAAATAGTTAGTATCAATAGGAATGTCACTGTAGCATGTATCAGCTACAAACACATTATTGTTGGAAGATTCCAGATTCACTGCATTCTCGTCTTGCACACCACAGCCAATTTGTTCCTCTGGAAACAGAGAACAAGGCTGAATGCTACCATCCCGTATGATAGGCTTCTGATCATCCTCAAAAGTTTCAATTGGTTGTTCAAAGTAGCCACCAGAGTCGACCACATAGTTTCCTGGTTGAATGTAATTTCCAGAGTCTGAGTAATTGCCTGATTCAACATTGTTGCTTGATTCTCCATGACAGTAGTTAGGTAGAATAGGAACGGCATCATAGACCACCAGATTCTCAGGCTTCTGCAAGAGGAAATCATATTCAGACGCTAACATAAAAGAAATGTCATGAATCAATCCAAAACAATAAGAAGATGTAAAGATCTATATCATCATAAATATGCCAATGCCAAGACCTAAGCTAACTAACATCCATCCCTCATCTTTAATCTAAACATGTATACTATTCCAGCACATAAGCAAAAGGCACCCAAGGCTTGCTAACAGGAAAACACTCCATTTATCACTCTTTCGCATTTGCGATATTCCACGCCATCTTTCTAACCATATCACTAATCACTTTTACACTACACACTAATCACAAAGAGAAATAATTTCTGGAATTGTTGAAGAAAAAGGTAGGATTTACTTCTAATACAAACCTCGTCAATGTCATCAATATCAACATAAACATCATCATCAACAGCCAATCCTTCACTGAAAGAATCTTGATCTGGTACATAAGTCATTCCATCTTCTTCCCACTCCTCCTCAAGAAACGGAGCACCGTACTGCTCCCCATTCTTAGGACCCGTACCACTTTTCTGGAATATCCTACATAACACATATGCTTCCTTCTCCACCAACCACCAAAACGACTCAACAAAGTCAATAACTCAATCCATAGACATAAAAGAAAACAACTTTCAGATCAAAAATGGAAAACAAAACAAACCCAATTGCTTAAATCTTACTTGTGGCACACCAGCTTTCTTCAGGTCCTCATCAGAAAGCCGATACTCGTGCATAACCCAATTGGTCCTTTCACCACGAGGAGCTCGACCTTTGTGATAAACAAGTGTCTTCTTCATCCCAACAACTCTTGAACCATTACGAATCTCCCGATCCTTGCCAGTCGTCTTCCAATAACCTTTCTCCGTCGCACGATTCGTCTTGGAACCATTACTGTATTTCTTATCCAGCATACTAAAGAAGTACCATTCCAAGTCTCTACTTTTCAGCTTAGACTTATCTATAGACACCAAAAAACCAATCGAATCAATCAGAATTCCAGATCATTCATAATCAAGCTCCATAATTCGATCTAACTAGAAAACAAAAAGAGAGATTGAGAGAAAAAGTTACCCGGTAGATCCCAAGGCTCGGATTTGTATATGTCGGTGACGGAAATAGCATCGAACTTAAAGGGTTTGTTGCAGACCTTACGCTTAAGGTAGTAGCGAACAAGTTCCTCGTCCGTAGGGTGAAAACGGAACCCAGGAGCAAGCGACGTCACTGAGCCACGACCCATCAATCGGTGAACCAGAACTTGAAGAAAGTAAGGGTTTTTATGGGAGCAAATCGAGTAGAAAGAAAGTTGCTCCGATTTCGAGAATCGAGATAAATAAACAGATAATTAGATTTCTGAAAAATTAGGGTTTTAAGGGAAAATTGGAAGAGAGAGAGAGAGATGAATCGATCACGATGGCATTGGAATTAAGCAACCGTGGAAAGAAAAAGAATAAACAAAAAAAAAAAGAGAAAAGAAGAAATTACGCAGCGAAGGTTTTAAAATCTTCCACGAAGCTGAGATTTGGATATAAGTGTTCGGTGACGGTGCGGTGATATTTGATTAGCGACGGTATCTAGTTAGGTGACACGTCAACACCTTTAGCTAATATTTCTGATTCTAGAAGATTCTAAAAACCAACATGTTGAGGTAGTTGGGAATACAATCTAATCTGTTTTTTCAATCTATTTATTTCGTTGACATGATAATATCTTACTCACTACAAAATAATAATGAATTCAAATACAAAAAGCCTTGAACTGATCATAAAAGATTAATAGAAATCCTATTTATTAAAATTATACTCCTATATGTACATATCCTTTATAGATATGAATATATGTAGATACTATCTTACTCATGTATTTTCTATTTAATAAATGGTAAATTTCTTTCTTGATAACTTTTTCCTGTTTGTTTTAGATGATAAAATGCAGAACAGTACAACGAACATAGGCCAAAAGAAAAATGTCTCAGATCCTAATTTTATTTAATCCTAATTATGCAATAGAGAGAGTCAATCCAACCACATAGCTCAAGTAAAGTCTCGTGAGATTCCATGGAAACATAAGTTAAAGAAGTACAAGAGAAAGAAAAAACCTGCAGAGACAAAATAAAATAATTGGGCTTTTGTTCTGTCCCTTTAAGAGCATTGTTATTTACTGTTCTTCTTCCTCAGCTTCTCATTCTTCTTACGCAACGCATTAATCTGCTCTTCAAGAAAGCTTATCTCTATTTCTGGCTTCATCCTTTCACGCTCTTGCATCTCTCTGAACACAACCATCTCTTCATTCTCCTTCAGTACCATATCGTTGATCCTCTTGGTGGGGGAGTCGAAGTCGCAGGCCCTACACACACACATTTCAATATTATTTTTTCAACTTCAAAAAAAGAAACAATCAACTATGAAAGAAAACAAAATCGAATTAACGGGGTACATCTAAGAATTGGGCTCGTTGCTATTAATATAATAATATTTAAGCCCAACATCATTTCATTTGCAACACACTAGTTTTTAAGCCCACATTTGTATTTAGTTTCTTCTCTTCTTCTTTTTTTTTGCACGATGGCATTTGTAATTGGTTCTTTTCTTTTCTTCTCTTCTTCAACCCGAAACCATTTAGACTAGTAAAAGCGCAAAACAGCAGCATACAGTCTTCACTCTGAATACCAACAACAATCAGTCAATCACTTTTGATCTAGAAAAGCAAATACGGTCTTGACGTTGAAGTGGAAAAATAAGCTAGATTCAGATTTGAAGTGTCTGTATATTCTTTTACATATATTCTCAAGAATTGAAAGTGTTGGTTCCACATAAATTGAAAGAAAATCAACTGATATAGTTTTGTCTTGTGGCCGTGAGTCTATTCTTACAAGGAAAATTATATACATTTTAAAGTTTTTAAAATATAATAAATTTGTCTTTCAGTGGAGACCCTGGAATCAAGGAAAAACATTCATTGCAAGTAAACAGAATGTGAATAGATATGTCAACATTATGGGAATAAAAAACGCATATAATCAAACACATATATAGATCTAGTAATAGAAATATATATACAGTATGTTTTTTTTTTTTTTTAAACACATACATATATGTATTTTGATTTTCCCCAGTTCTCTCACTCTCTCCAAACTTTTTTCCCCTCAATGTAAACCTTATTGTCAACAGAAAAGAGAACTTTTTATTTTATCTGCAGGGAAAAAAATCGTCACGCCCTTTACATGAACTTTAGTTTTTCTTTGGGGAGAAAAAAAAAAGAAATTCTTGATCAAAAGTATAAAAGAACGTGACGTCAATTTTCTTTTGTAACAACAAATCGAAACTAACAAAGTGCTTATATTTTAATATTTCTGTAAAAATGACACAAAAAAAAAATGAATCTCGCAAGTCTTGAACAAGCAAAGAATTGGTTAGACAAAAAAAAAAAACAGGTTTGCTAGATAAACAATGAATGATCAATCTGAGAGCAAACCAAAAATTAAAAAATGATTTTTTTTGGGGGTTAAATAATGATGTAATAGTAAATTCAGTAGTGGCAATCCACTAAAGTAGGAGCAGACAAGACAAGAGACTTTGGTTCTTCTCTTTGCTTCTTCTGTTGATGTTCTTGTTCGTGATTTTGCTTTGAAGCAAAGCTGAATCCGTTGGCTCGATTCTCATCTTCCGGTGCGGGTAGATTCAGATCCAAATCCAGTGACACGATCGTCTTCCTAGCTTTCTTTGTCGCTGGCATCACCAGATGATCCTGACCGTCCGATATTTGATCGAACGACATTGAAGACAGTGATAGCTCCGTGTTGGCCGCAGCGGTGGCCACCGTCACGGTGGGGGTAACCGCCGCCGGGGCAACCACTGCGCCTCTGTGCCGTCTCATGTGGCCACCTAAGGCTTGCCCGGACGTAAACTCGGCTCCACAGATTCCACATTCATGAACCTTATTGTTACTTGCCTTACCGTACACGACAAGCGATCTACTGTTATTGTTCTTGTTGTTATTGTAAACAGTTGTGGTTGTGTGTACAAGTGAAACGGCGTCGTTTGCATAGATGTTCTTCTTGAGGTCAAGATTGGAGTAAAAAGAGGCGGCTTTAGGTTTCTTGTGGCTAGCTCTATGGCCACCTAAAGCTTGAAAAGAAGGAAAAGTCCGGTCACATGTCTTGCACTGATAAACGTAGTAACCTGCTTTACCACCACTGTTAGAAGAAGAAGTCTCTAGAAACCTCCTGCTGGTAAATCTATATGCGTTGTTGTTGTTGTTGTTGTTTGTTACGTGGTGGTTGTTGTTGGGAAGAGAGTGTCCTTGGGCAAGGAGGATCAAACAATTGGCTATGTCTTGATCTTCCTCGTCTTCTGCGGCCTTCAATGTTGGGTTGTTGTGAGAGGACCAAGAGGCTGATGAAGATGAAGACGTGATCACACCATCCTTTTTGTGGTTTCCCTCATCGTTTCCTAAAGCATTGTCCTTGGAATCAAGATCAGTGAATTCTTCTTCCATGTTACGTTCCGAGGAAGAAACTATAGGATGGGAGATAGAGAAAGGAATAGGAGATTGTGGACGTTGTCGCTTCGTCCGCTTCCCTTTAAGGATCAAAGAGTGCTCCTTTGTGGCCTCTTCGAACGCTTCCATTAGCCAGAGATTCAAGATCACAGATCAAGAACGGATCAGGAGAAGAGGATTTGTGTTGTTGATTATGAAGAAGTTAAGGATGAGAGATGCATATATAGTAATGTGTTAAGAGGAAGATGTGTGTGAGATGGAGAGAGATGTGTGGAGAGATGGATACATAAATAGTGAGTGATTTAGGAAGAGAGGAGTCAAAGAGAGACACCACACATATAGAACAAAAATATATGAGAAAGCTTTTTAAGTGTGTGAATATGTTTGGACTTGTCCTTTTGTAGCCTCTTAAATTTTAGTACTTCTGTTATTGTCTCTCTTCTACCATTTGCCCAACTTGGCAAACTTATCACATTACAATCAGATAAAAGAGAGAGAAAGAGTGTGTGTGACAATTTGCAACAAAAAATGTACAATTTTAGACAATTTCTATAGTAATATTTGTTTGTTCCACTAATTATCCCGTTTTTTAACTCTGTATAACGATTTATTCGGGGTGTGATCACATGTAAAATAGTTTCTTTAGTTTTTCTTGTTCAAATTAGTTTTTAGATTGATGAGTAAATTTTAACAAATTCTAGGCATATATCGATCACTTCAAAATAGAAATTAAAAGATAGAATATCACAAACGTATTTCTAATTATATGATTCTTTTTTATATTTTTAGTTCTAATTATTATTTATCTTTTGTTTTGTAATTTTAGTTGATTAAATTATTCTATAGAAAATTAGAACAACTAAACCAAACGTAAATGAAATCTAATCACATATTGGTTTTTCTAGTTAATTATATATATATATATATATATATATCATTTTGTAGTCGAATTTCGTTAATCATCGATTATTTTGATTAGTTTGGAGTGTTGAGTGATGCTTATTAAAAAAAAAAAAGTTATGAATGAAGAAAAAGAAAGGTGAAAAACGGAAGGAGAGATTAATAGAAAGGGTTGGAGTAATGATGTGAAAATGCAAGCCTGTCTCTCACGGAATCTACGGCTCCCCTTCTTCTTCTTCTCTCTCCCTCTACCATTACTCCACTCCATCTTCATTTTTGATATACTTTATTTATTTGTTTACCATATTTCTACGTAAATATGTATATTGAAAATAACATACCACTTCTAATTATCTAGAATTGTGTAAAATTGACTCTAAAAACTCAAGTCCAACTAATTTGTCTTAAGGCTACGATAAGACTTCAAGCAAGACTTTGAGACAATAATACAAGTAGTGGCAAAGTAGTATATATAACTAAATTCTCTTTATATTTGTCTATTCATATTAATTTAACAGGTAATTAAAGATATTCCTAATTTCATTAAGAGAATCTTCCACCATAATATTGAAAATAAACACATTTGTTACGGAATATGCAAGTTAATAAAATAGTATTAAAATAGAGAGATAGATACAAATTTATGTCATAAATAAACACATGTTGGCGTGTGTATTTGCAGATGGAAGTATATACAACATTATACAGATTCCGTTAATGGATGCATGATGTGAAGAGCACCCATTCCACGTCAAGAATATTACTAAGTACCAAGCAATCATCAAGTGCAGCTCATCGTATCTTCAAGAGTTATTATCTATTTTTTTATTTTATTTAGTATATATATCCGATTAATCAATGTTTATATGATCCTCGACAATTGTCCTCCGTCGATTTTCATTCACTTTGAACAACGTAAGAATTCTACAAAAACTCTAATTAATATCAGTGGCATAATTTTTTTAAAGTCTATATGGGGATTATTTGAAATTTTAAGACGGAAAATATGATTCTTTTAATGTTATATGTAGTTCAATTGACGCCAACAAATCTACATATATAACATTAAGTCTACTTCCATCTGTTGGGAGACTTGGTTAGTAGCTAAATAATTAGCCCAATGATGAGGGAAGAGTACCGACTAGCTAGATAACATGGACTGAATTAATGTAAACATATGTAATTATTACAAATTAACAATTATATAAATTACTTTCATAAGTTGTTATCTTAATTATTCTCTTTTCGTCTATAACTCTCTCACACACACACTTATAGATTCAATTAACTCGAGTACATAACAACAATAGTAATATAACACACTATGTTACAAGCTCCAGTTGATTATTAACAAGCTAATGAATTTAAATAACATAAGAAATGAATATTCTTTTCTATAATTATTAATTTCATGATAATTGTGTAACGTAATTTGATTTTGTTTTGATTGTACGTAGTTGATTAATAGAGCGAGAGAAGGTGGTGGGAGAGTTAAGGAGCACAAGTCGGCTCTCTGACCATTATCGAGTGTGAGCTTCTTCTTCTTAATACTTGTGTCTATTTCATGGTCGCACGTTCCTTTAATACGACCACACACAATTGTACTAAACTTTAGGACATGAGGAAAGTTTTTTCTTAGTCAATGAAACGACTATGCTGACGGTCGTTTTGTTCCTGCAACTAGCATGTTGAGACACATGACATGCAAACTTGTTAAACAATATGTTGGTGATGGCATCTCCAAAGTGAGCTACGAGCAGTGGTTCACTCACCGCTCTGATGTAATTGGCTTCATTTTGCCCTGATTTACTTCTCTTTGACTCGTCTTGGTTACAATGGCCAAGATCATATCCATGTGTCTCCAAGTCTCTGATTTCAAAGGAACCTTCTTTCTGTACCATCTCCTTTATTTCTTTTTCGTTGGGGTCATAAAATGGAATGTAGAACGAATCTACCTTCGACGCACTCACAAGACCCTATGAAAATAAAATAAAATATGATGAAAAAATTGTTTGGTTTTCACATCAAAAGTATCAAGAACCAACACTAATTAATATGTTGACGAACATAGAGCAGTCCACACATTTTCAATTGATTTTGAGTTGAAGCTTATAATCCTCACAAAAATAAAAAAATGTGAAACTGTATATGTTGAACATATTTATTTTGTCGAAGAAAAAAATGATTTATATAAATACCTCGACGACTAGGTCACGGAGAGATTTGGATAATAATGTCCAAAAGTGACAACAATCTCTATGCAATGGATTATCAATAGTGTTTCGACCAATGAAAGTGAGAACCATGCGTCCATTAGAAACCATCTCTTCAGAACGCAGTTGAAGAAATGTCGCGAAATCTCTTTGGAATTGATTTAAGTAAGCCTTATATGTACTTAGAGGACTTGAATTTGTGATGTACACACTCATCTTACTCTTCTCAAGCCCTTCAGGAACCTTACAATCAAATAGTTCTAGCATTAGCAATTTTCTTATCAATTTCTATACATAGAATGTTAAAAATGAAGTGTCAACACATATCATACCTTAGAGAGCCAATGGAGACCATAAGAGGAATGTACGAAATGAAGACTCCTCCGAGGGAAGAGCCTCGAGTAGAAAGAACCGGGGACTCCAGAGACAAAGTATGATTCTTTGCTCGTGATGTTCTTCTCGTTGAAGAATTGTATGAATTTGAACGTTGTGTTAAAATCGTTATTAGGGAGATCATTTAGACAACAATCTATTTCTGGTGGGTTTTGGTTCCTCTGTTGACATAACACATTGATGGTATTGATAATTTCAGACATCGCCAAGAATGTGTTTTGTCCAGATGAACAACCCAAATCAGCTACTTTAATGTATGTAGGAAAGTTTAAGTTTATCATCAGTTCCTTTGTGTTCTTAACCAATACCGGTTTAGCCTTTGATAACACTCTTCTCTGAAAACACACAAAAAAAAAGAAAAAGAAACAAATTAAGAACTTGTTAGTTAATAAGTAGAGAAACACTTTTATGTAAGCTTAATTACATTAAACTAAATTAATTATTTTTCGTTTTAACTCTTTTTATCCTAAATCGCACCAAATCAAATTAAACCAAAATTTTGTCGTACAAAAGAAAATTCGGTTTCAATTGAATCATGAATTCAACAACCCGAAAAAAAAAACATAATAATAACTAATGTGACTCTAAATTTCTGCATGGATATGTCTTATAAAATATAAAATAAAAATATGAAGAAATTTAAAAAACCTGAAGAAGAGAATTGGTGGAGTAACTGTTGTATCCATCTCCTCCACTCATACATAGAGGACTCACATAGGAGTATTTACTAATTCTTTCTTCATCGCCGTTTTTCCTCTCATTTTCACTCTTACCATTACTACATCTGCATCACATATATAAAACAAATACGGATACAATCATACATATATGAATACATCTATGTCGAATTCACATATACAACTTTATGATGTGAAGATGAATAGGTGAGAAGAACCCTAAGGTAGGTATGGAATGGGTGAATCTTGAATCCATTTCTCGCACTATTACAAGACAATAGTTTCTAAAACGAGAAAGATTATTATATGGGTATGTTGTTTAAGGAGGCTACCTCTCAGTCGTTTTATTTATAGAGGTGGGACATATCTTGAACGTGAAACACGCCGAGTTGTTGCAATACACAGTTGCACATTCAATCATGCCCAATCTTGCAATCTTTCTAAAGATTAATATAATTTAAAATTTTGTCAAATAAATAAAAGGGTGAAAATAAGCAAAAAAAAAAAGGAAATAGTGGGAAATTAGAATTACGAGTGTTTCTATATAAGAGAAAACATAGTGTGTAGTGTTTGTTTTTTTTCTACGATGAGAATTTTATGATGTTTTGAAAGCTCATATCGTATCTCGATTCATAGATAGAGAATCAAAACACTATGTAAAGTGACATTATTGGTCGTAAAGTAGAATTATATAGTGAAGATCATGAAGAATAAGTACGACACCCCATAATATTCTCAAACAACCATGATATTCTCGATAAGTTTAAACTAAAAGTTGGAAGCAAAAAAAGTTGTAGCTAGACACGTGTTTGTAGAACTCGACCTTTTGTTCAATATGTCGTCTTTTCTTTTTAGAATCTGAAAAAAAACAGAGAGGGGAAGAGGGACTACGCGGCACATCAAAGGAGTACGCGGCATGTATATAGTTTCTAGTTAATAAAAGAAGTAGACAAATTATTTTTATGATGTATATTTAATTATTGGACGAGATTTCGTATAGTTGTGACATTTGTTAATGTCGTTATGTCTTGTTTCATACGAAAACACCACTAGCACTTATTGGAACAAAAATCAACATGCACAAAGTGAAATCCAAGCCATGTTTGGTGTTGTTGACTTCACGCACGGATTAATATCCTTAATCCATACTACAAATTATTTCCAAATCAATGAAACCACAAAATTAAGTGGCCGATTCCCGTAGCTAGCATGCTGAGACACGTGATGTGCGTACTTGTTAAACAGTGTATCGATATATTTCAGAAAGAAGTCCACTCTGTAACACTTCGATGCGTTCCTACTGGGAATGACCGGATCAGTCAATAGGCTTAAAAAAAAAAACAATGTATGGATATTAATGGCATCTCCAAAGTGAGCTATGAGAATTGTTTCAGTCACTGCTCTTAGTAGCTTTTTTTTTTCCTGATTTAGCTCTGTGATTGTAAGCTACAACCAAATCCATGTGTATCCAAGTCGTTTACTTGGAAGGATCCCTCTTTTCTAATCATTTCCTTCAATTCTTCTTCGTTCGGATCATAATACGGCAATTTGAACGAACTCACCTTTGATGCACTCACAAGACCCTCTATATAGGGTATCACGATGTTGTTATTCACCTCGAAGACTAGGTCACAGAGAGATTTGGATAACAATATCGCCCAAATTTGACGAAATCCACTATATTTTATATATACGAGTGGGACATATCTTAAATGTGAAACACGCCGAGAGTTGTTGCAGTAAACAATTTCACATTCGAACTTAGTCAATCTGACAATCTTTAGATACATATAATAAGTTAAAAGAAATAAGATGAAAGTAAGCCAAATTGATATACAACATGTTAAATTTGGAGGCATTATATTAAAGACAAGCCATGTTCTTCAGAGAATATTATGAAACAGAGCATTTACCTGTTTTGCTATAAAGGATAAGTTTCAACCATTCCTCGATTCAACAAACACCGTCGTTGTTCTTGCCGGTACAGTGAAGCCGCCGGAAAACGAGTCGTAAACTGATTTCTTGACTATTTCATCGCCTGATATCACCTGTTAGTCACTCAAGAGTTAAATCATCGCTTAGAGATCTTACAACTTTTTTAATAAACAACAAACTGAAAGGTGAAAGCTTATGATATTGTTCTATTTTCTGTAATGCTTGATTTACCTGAACCGGGTGTAATTCTAGCTTCCTGTCTTTTAGAGCGGGACTGAGATATGAGAACTCAGACGGGCGTGCATTGAAGATTACCACAATGAGTGAGTAGCTGTAGGGGTAACAGCACCATTACTGAACAATGTCTACACATATGAAGCTACGAAAGATTTGTTGAGTTGTTTTTTTTTTTGCTTACATTGGATCGATCTGAGATACACTTGGGATACCTTTGTGACCATCTTCAATGCTCATGACAATGGCACCAGGGATTGATGAGGGGCCTGTGTTATGAAATCGCACTCGCTCCTGAAAAAAGAAAAACAGAGGTCATATCAGCCCACAAGCTTTTGAGATCTCTTACTTCATTTGCGGTGATTGTGAATGAGTCAATACAATCACCGATAAGTCACTTAGAACCTGCATGAGCTTCTGGTAGTATTTTATGGCATAGCAAAAGAAGGATACTAAATGAAAAGTTTCATAAGAGCAGAGAACCCAGTGAAGATAATTTATTAAACAGTATTCATCCTGACCTGTATAGCCCTTGCTGTATCTAAACGAAAGAGAGGTGAAGAGTATCTGATGCGTAACAAATCTAAGAAATTGTGGAGGGTGGCAACTATGTGACTGCTCTTAGGCTTGAAAGATGGATCTTGTAGCCTCGGTTTGATCCTAGAGACATATTCAGCAGGAGCTGACTGGTATCAGAAACATGCAATGGGCGTATGGTTTACTCAGCAATCAGATTTATTGAAGGCGATTCCGTCGGTACTTACAGTGGCCAGTTGTGTTCGTTTTTCCCTTTTGGAGGAAGCCCAACACCCCAATTGTTGGAACTGTAGCTGAAGTCCAGCCTAAACTTGTCGCCGTTCATGTCGATCAGTAGGGGTATATATTATCAGAAGAAATGTTTCATTACAAGAACGAAAACGCAAACCTATTGAACCAGTCACCGGAGTTGTAAGAATCGCGATCAAGTGATTTCGAGCGTAGAATCTCATCCCCAGCATGGAAGAATGGAATACCCTTTACATGCAGAATAAACCATATTAAGATTTGAACAGGAAATCTACTTGGTGTAATAGTTTCGAGAATAATGCCCACTAGCCGTAGTTTGCAGTCCCTTAGTCTACATATCTCTAAGTTAAGTTGGAATACAGTAGAGAACCTGAGAGAGGGCAATCATACTTGACGCCAAATGATTGATTCGACACCTTTCATCAACAGATATTTCCATCGGTGTCTGCAAGAACAAAGCAGAAATAAGTCTATACAGATCCTCAAGTAGAAATGTATGATGCAAATAAATGGAGAGTGGATACACGTCTGTTGGCTCGCAGATACAACATGCAGAGTGAAGTGCTTCAGAATTGAAGATTAATCAAGCAGAAGAAAACATTGAGCTGAAGAATTGAAAATTTGGAAAAAAGCTCAGACATCATATTTGTTTTATTACCTTCAAACTGATAATGTCAAAGAGGGTTTCATTGTCATGAGCAGAGACGTAATTAATCTGAAACCACAGGGAAATGCTGGTATGAGCATCACAGATTTATTGGTGCTTGATTCACTTAAATGATGAAAGTGATAGAAATGAAGTTGCATACAGTTTCTGTTGGCAGTGAAGCATATGCAACAGGTGTAGCATCATGCATTAAAACCTCTGATCCCTTCACCTACAAAATGAGAGCCATACATCATAAAAGGTGAGGCAAAAATTCTTTGTGAAAGGTTAAATAGTAAAGTGTGACTACTTACATACCTCCTTTCCTTCGTGGTTGGTCAGCATATAATCCTTCAAATTTGCTGCCATACCAGTCTAATCCATGATGGAAATAAAATGAATATATCAGTAAAAGACTTTCTAAAACTTAAGTGTTGTAAGATATCCATACCGCTGTCACATTTCAACTAGTAAGATAACAGAATGTAGTAAGCAAGGAGAAAGCATTGGGAACAGCTATGAAGCGAATTTGAGAGCAAGTTGGGTTTGGGCAATCCTTAAGCCTTGATTTCAGAAATTTGAAAACCATATTGCATATGATATCTAACAGTGATCATTACCTGGATGTGATTTTTCGCAGTAGAAAGCATCAGTTCCTGGGTAGCTTCTGAACCATGGTCATGACCGTTAGGCTGTCCATGAAAGGGAAGGTTAAAAAGTGAAGAGAAGAATTTTACATATTTCTAAGCATATCTCTACATGAAAAAATAATTTACTACGGGCAAATAAGGATACATGATGATTGATGGCATGGAAATTTCATTTCTCACTACAATTATTCAAACACTTACATGGGCAATACAGCCGTAATGTGGTGTCTATTTCAAGCAAAACCACAGACATAAATTGTTGGTAAAGCCATGAATATAAATGTAAATGTGATGATGTGGTTTAATACCATATTCTTCATTTAACCTCGTTCAGAGCTAAAAACTTTAGTGATTCAATATCTTGATTGGTAACTGCACAAAAAAAAAAAAAAAGAAGCCAAAATACCTGTAACAATAAACCTGTAATGAATCCTTGTTGAAGAGGATGACCAAATGGAGATCCACCAAGAGTTGCATCTCGTATCCGGTCATTAAAACTGAATAGAGATTTAAACATTCCAGGTAAAACAAAATGAATCAGGAAAATGTTGAACAATTGTTGAAGAAAATGACAAGATGTCCAATGGATTAACTAAAAAGGTAAAAGGAACTTTCAAACCTTCCAATTCCTGTCCCGCCTAAGTTGAACTGTGACGCATTTATTCCACGTCCATTTTCAGCAACTTCACCAAAGTTCCATCCTTCGCCATATCTGATGATGAAGGGATAGCACAACAAATTATATGGCCAAAATTATTTCACAAGAAAAAGAAAAAAGGACACAACAAATGTCAGAAAACTTGCATCTAAGTCCGATAAATAGCCAGGACTTACAAATAAATTCTTGAACCATCAACTCCATCTGTTTCCTTTCTCAAGCTACCAATTGCAGATTTTGCGTTTACCTAAGGAATATAGATATTACAACTCACCTCAAAACTTTTGTAACATTACACTAAACCTAATGAAATAACATACTAACTTCTGAAGAAAACAGTAAAGAAAGCTATCAATCATACAAATAAAACATGCAGAGTAACAAAGCTGCTTACCATTGTAGCTTTCATTATATG